GATCTATTTCGAAGTGCAGTTGAATGTTTCCTTCTGGAAGATTTCTTCTCTTGCAATGCCCTTAACACTGTCAGTGCCACATTTCAGCACCACTAAGACAGTACTTCTCCATATGACAGCCCTGCAGACCGGGTTTTTTGCTTGTTTAGTCATTCCTCAGAGGCACAATGTTGGCTGGAGACATTTACAACAAGTAATTGCCCCTCAAGCTCCCAAGAGCAAATTTTTATCTCCTCAAACAAGGTGGGCATCAGGTTAAAGGTTACAGAGAAATGAGTGACCAGACACACGCTGTGAATGCTGCGTTAGCCACAATGACTCTCGGGACTGAAAGCCTATTAGCTAAGAGAGGATCCATTCACTTACCTTCTGTATACTAGTAAGCTAATGGACATGGTGTATGAGGAGAGGAAATAACAGACAGCTACTGTCTTCTCTGAACAGAATGAAATAAAACATGAAATGTTTATTTTTTTAATAGCTAGTAAATATACTAATATTGAAGCGCAGAGCAGTAAGAAAAACAAGAAGTTTGATGTCAGGCTGATGGAACTGCCAGGGTGCTACAACCTCCTACTATGTACTGGGATATCAGCCTATCTTCCCCAATCCTAATTCAATCTCATACATATTCCTCATCGGCTACCGTTATGAGAAGTTTTTCACCTGAAGTCATGTGGAACTGAAACAGTATTGCTGATAGTCACAGTGACATAAAATAAACGCAAAATCAGACAAACTGAAAGGGCTGACAACAAACAGTTCGGAAGTGACTCGCTTAAACCCAGCAAGCCTCTCAGGGCTAAGAGCTGTGGTATGACTGGTCATGTGCAGAGCTAGGCTCAAAAGAACTTAGGTTAAAAACTTAAAAATGGGTGACAGCATTACATCTCAATAAAAACACAATGTCTGTGCCCAACAATGCTGTCACTTAGGTACGTGCGTCCAAGTTTGCTATGCGCTACATTCCCTGGAGCTGACAGCTTTGAGAAGCACCCTCTTTCTCCTGCACCGTACCAAATAACAGAGTCCAGTGGGACTCGAAGCAGCTTAGTCATCCTCCTCCATTTTTCCCCTGGAGTGCAATAAAGAGAACAAAAGGGAAATGCAATGGAGCTGTTCTGTGATTCTTCCTGTGAATAGAGACAAGATCAGACAAGGCACTCAAAAGGATGAGAGGAGGCAAGAAATTAATGAGGAATGAGTTGTACTGCATTTAGGCTAAAGCATTCTTCATCTTCAGCCAGTGAAAGCCAGGAATGGCACAGCTACAGCTGTGCACAGACACAAGCATAAATGACCATTGCAGGTCCTTTCCATGCTACCTTTTACTTTGCCCCATTGTCTCAATTTCTGAATTGGCACAGCTTCACTAGCCCTGGTATAAGCCGCTAGCATTAAGCAGTAATATATAAGCAGAATATATAATAGGATACATTTACAAGTCAAATGTTGGGTGTGCAGATGTTATATAGCCGAGAGCGACCGAAATGCCTTTTTGTTTTCAAATTGTTTAAACTCTAAGTTTCATCACCAAAATTAATACCTGTTGTTTGTGCTGTAGCAGACAGAAGAACCTATTTAGCATAGTGATAATCATCAGCTAAGTTGTGTATCTAAGACTTTACTGCACCTGTTCTCCACCACTAACACAAGTTTCAGAACTAAATTACATGTCAGCCAAACCTTGATCATCATACGAAGCACGTACTGCAGAACAACTCAAACACACACAAACAAATCTCTGTGTAACATCCTGAGAATAGCTAAAACTCACAGAAATGAAGACAAGCATAACAGTGTCTAATAGTATCAGGCAATGAAGGAAGTTGCATCCTGCCTCCCTTCTGCCCCAGGCAAGATACCTTGCTTCTCTGCTTCTCCAGGTCTGTGCTCTTTAGGCGTGTTAATGACTTGAAGCTTCTAAGATCATAAGGTACGAGGAGACAACCAGTTCTCTTCCTGCGGGTCTTGGGAAGGACATAAACCTAGACCTCTACAAACAAAAGCTCAGAATGACCCAGGTCTACGCGAGTGCAAAAAAAATCCAGGAAAAATGTTTTAAATATTGCAGATGATTGTCTCTAGTAGAGCTGAGCCACCAAGGCACTACGTGCCTGAAGAACATGCAAAGAGTTAAAACCGCAAAGAGCTTACAATGTGGAGTCCACCTCTGCTTATTTTGTACTGTAAATGTTCCTCTTGATTTTGCCTTGAAATTTTACTGAAAACAATATCCTCCTCTATCTGAGAAGTCACAACATTTTGTCATTTACTGCTGCACAGAGTATACAATTACAGCGATCCAGTTTTCACAGGAAGGTGGTATTTAGAGGAGCTCATATCACATACACAATGAACATGAGAAAGGGGATGGAGGCACAGAAAAAAGATGAAGGAGATAAAGCCAGATACGCAAAAGGAAGCAAAATGTTCAACTTAGGACTTCCGCAGAGACACTTACGTGCAGGAGATGGAAAAGAGAATCAAAGCCCTTTGACAGTTTTTCATTAGTGAAAAAAAAAAAAAATCTACTTCAGTTCTGGCTCCACACAAAATCATAGCTCTGTGTCAGCAGGGATGGTCAGCTGGCACCGCTCCAGAGCCTACGCCTGATCAATGTTCTCTCTGCAGATATTCTCCTTCTGTCTGCAAAGGGGACCAATGACCTCAGCATGCCAACATGCATCTCTAGAAATAACTTCTACTCAGTGCACACAGACTAATGTCTTCTCCTGTTGCTCAGAAAGAAAAGAACAACTGCACCTCCATCTGCAACAGGAAGTGTTAGAGCGTACCAGGCTATGATTCCAGCCTGTGAATGTTAATTAAACACAGACTATGCTGCAGAATAGAGATATTTTAGAAAACTTGAGCTTAAAAGAGTACAAATCAGCCTTTAGAATTAGCTAGCTGCTTAATTCTCATTTTCCTTCTCACTGTGGCACTACACTGTTAGGAATATTTTAAGTATCTGAGCTTCCCCACAAGTTCCACTTTAGGAGCCAGATGCTCAAAATTCCGCACGGCAATGCCCAGCATTACCACATCTGCATTTCTGTGTCAAACTGCCTTGAGACTCAAACCCACACAAGACTGACCAGTAAACCTGACTGTGGATTAGGACCTGAAAAGTCAGTCTGGTGGTTCACAGGGAAATAATTTTCCTCCCAGATCTCCCCTTTAGTAACTCACCCTCAATGTTCACACCATTATCTGTATTTTTCAGCATACTATTCACAGCCTATAACACAGCTGTATTGCTTCTTGGGGAAGCTTCAGGTCCAAACCCAGCTTTTTTTACCTTTGGATCGGCAGTCAGCAGCTTGAATGCTTGATATACTTGTGCTTCTTTCACACCTCCACCGAGATCCAAGAAGTTGGCTGGCTTTCCCCCGTTCAAGGATATTATATCACATGTTGCCATTGCAAGTCCAGCTCCATTAACTGTAATTGTGAACATCAAGTGCTTATATTTCACATAAAAGTATGTAAGATTTGTGAAAAGGCTTAAAACATATCAGCATAACCACATAACATGGCTCAAAAGGTTATATAAATTTCTAAATAGGTCAGTACCTATTCAAGGATATACAAAGCACGAAGTAATTCAAAATCCGGTGCATACACACCAACATTTAGGTTTCTTTATAACTGTGTCAATTGTAGGACTTAGATGTATACTTTCCCTTAAGCATGTATGAGCACTTCAGTGGTAATTGTAGAAATGCAAAAACTTCTGCTTTAAAGACATTAAAACTTTTGGGAACAGTGATTGCATCATGAGACGTGAAGGACAAATTGACACGTTAAGCTCCCCTCCCACCACTCCGATGGCAGGAGATGACGCTTTGTATTACTGTCAAACAGACAACTAAATGTTGGGGACAGGTATCAGATGCTCCCGAAACGACCTTTTATTTTGTGTTTGCACCAGTCTAGAAGCATTCCCATGGGCACAAACATCCTCTAAGATAGGAAAAGTAGATGAGAACTATTCGTCCCCTGTAAGTTGTTCCTGCTGGACAAAGTAAGGCTTCTGTGTTACCTGTAATTCAACAGCGATACACAATACAAAAAAAACCCAAACCAACCCAAATCAGTGTTGCCAATTATTCTTTGGGGTTTTGGTGGAGTTTGGCTGGTTGGTTTTTTTTGTTGTTGTTTTGCTTTTTTTCTTTTAATTGAGATTAAAGTCTCACTGTCACTTATTGAATCAACTACAACGTGTAGTAAGTATCTTCTAGATTTGTGGCTACAGTACACATCTAAGCAATGTAAATGCTGGACATTTGCTCACCAAGCTGAGGCAAAATGCCTAATTCAACTAGATTCGTAATAAAATGCTGTACTGGCTAAAAGAATTTGTACAAAATGAAAATTATTTAGAGCATAGCTGACTCAATTTTTTTTTTCTTTTTTCTAAACACAAGAGTAATTTCTGTTCTACAGAAACTGAAGGAAAATAACAACCTGGTATTTTCCTTTTACCAACCAAGCAGCATCTTTAGTGGCGTTCCTTAAAAGGAAACGGAGTTCAATATTCAATTATAAATAGGAATATAATGTTTTTACACACATACTTTTGCAGTGTCTTTAAGTAACACAGTCTCATTTTTGAAAATTATCTAATTTTGATGACTTTTTTTTTTTTCAATTACTAGAAAGACCAATTGCATCAGCTTAAAAATTCAGAACATAGAAACGCCACCGGCTTCTCCCTTAGCTTGCCTTCTCTGACACCAGCCGTGCCCTGCCTATCCGCTGTGGCCTTCATCTCAGTTTCAACACAATTTCAGTTTCATTCAAGCAAGAACTTGCGGAAGGACAGACAACACCAGCGAAACAGACTGAAATACCATCAAGGGTGGATTGAATGACAGAATGTAAACAAACTCTACACACTGAACAAGTATGAATTTGTCTTCAAATGTCTTTTCGATTTATTTGTTCTTACCAAAGCAAGCAATATTTCCATCCAGTCCTATATATTTTAAGTCGTATTTGGCAGCTTCATTCTCTATAGGTTCATTTTCAGACTTGTCATCCATGGCAAATATTTCTTTTTGCCTAAATTCTGCATTGTCATCAAAGTTTATCTTGGCATCAAAACAAACAACTAAAGAAAAAAAGAAAACAACAACATACTGACATTTAGAGTTTACAGTTAGTCAGAGCTTCTGAAATATCACAGCTCCGATAGCAGGGAGGGGGAGAAGGTTGCTTAGGAGCGGATGCTCCTTCCACCATATGATCAGCTGAAGTTCTAGCATTCAGTCAGTAGACAAGAGCAAGTTTTCCTTAAATCCTGTATTGATAAAAGCCACAACAAGCATCTCCACACTACACAGTCATGTGTCCTCATCACGGGATGTGACTATGTTTGCTTTAAACAAAGTTCCCATAAGTTATGAAGGCATTTTTTATGATTTGGACAGGTGGTCTGCAGTAATTTAATAAGAACGTCTACTTCCAATATTTTGAAAGCATGACAGATGTAACAGGTCAGCAATCCAAAGCAATGTTTGGTAACGTGCACTCATTTACAGCTGAGCAATACCTAATGCTTTCCTTAGCCATATTTTTAATTTTGAATGTTATTAGCTGTACACACATTATTTCCCCAAAGGTCTGAATTAAAACAGCTTTAAGTCAATGTATGTTAAAAGTGATCAAAAGATGACTTGTAAGTAAAGAAAATTTTAAAAGTAAATACAAAACTTCTTGTCAAGTCAATTTTTAGCCTTTGATATAGATACCCACCAATTAAAATACCTAATCACACCATCTTTGTTGGCGGACAAATACCCCTCTCTCACTTTTTAATATACAATTAAATATACAACTTAGGAGAAAATACCTAAGCAAACAGTAAACAAAACATTTACACAAACAGGAGTCTCAATTGTATATCTTGATTTGCATTGGGTTTTCTTGGTTTAGTTTTCTGATGTTGCTGGGCTTTTTGTAGTTTTCTGAGATACACTTGATTTGTAACCAATACCAAATTAAATTAAAGCATGATCAAATTTCATTTCAGTGACTGCAGTTTCAGAAAACTATTCATAAGTGTGTGTGTATAATAGATTTCTCGTGGAAGAGTCTAGATCGTACCCAGTCAATCACCATGTGGGAATCTGCCGAAAGCAGAAATGTCTGAAGTTCACAATATACTTCTACTCTAGTAAAGCTGCTTTAATTTTTTTTTTAACAATTAACTAAGACCAGTACCATTTTTTCTTCTTCAAGCCTTCAGTTCCTTAAATTGCTAAACCAACTCAAAGCTAGAGTAGAACTGGAGCTCTGTTTACCTTAGACATGAACATCCTCAATGTCAAATTAACAGAATCTCATTTCTACAGAACATTCATCTTTAACAAAGGCCATGCTCTACAAAGTAGCAGGAAAAATACCCATTAATATTTATCAAACCATTTTCACCATCAAAAGCACATTGTTACATGCATGAGAGATTATACAAATGAATTTTTCTTCTAAACAAAAGCTTTCAAAAGAAAGCTCCAACACTTATATTCACGGAATACTTCTGTTGTTTTTACTAGCAGTGCAGGATTTTTGTCATCTGCCAATTCAACAGCTTACACTGAGAGCAAACAAAACAAAAAAAACCCCAAAAATTGGCAGCTGCAGGCTTCTGACCCAATAGTGTTAACACAGAATTTGCTACAAAATTAAACAAAAGGAAATACATATGACAATGTATTTTGTAATAGAAATTCACATAAGTGAAAAACACAAAACACAGCAAGAAATAAATCCATCTTAACTGTGACTTTGACAGGAATAATGGCCTTCATACAGAGACCTATATTTTATCATTAGAAATAACTGCATTAAGCTACTCAAATGTTCTTCCATTTGTTTTATCTTTATTCTTTTTTAAGACATTTCATATGGAGAAACTGCTAGCAAAAACCAAGAGAGACTTCTGGGTATGTCTGCTAGTAAGATAGCTTTCACAGCTTGAAACCCATTCTGTTTCTGCCCCTCAGCTTCCTGCCTGCAAAATACATGGTGAAAAACCTTGGAGAAAACAGCATAAAACCTCCTGCCATCCCCCAAATGAAGCCTTCCTCACTGAGTATGCACACTCGTTACAGGGAAATTGGTAACTTATCCAAATCAGTCATTTTTTCCACAGTTCCATGTCACAGTACTCTAGCAAGGATGCAAAGTCAGATATTCTCAGTGCCTATACACGTGTCTACGATGTCCACCCTCTAACACCCAAGATGTACTTAAAAGATCTCCCTTGCAGGATTACATGGCTGACATACTGTAGGTACTGAACTGGGGATTTTGTCCTTTGTTCTGCCAAAATAACGGAATAGTAAAGTGCTTCTGTACTAGTTATTTGAGCTAGTTTTGAACCATGAAGTGTGAACATCAGAACAGCCTAGTCTTGGCACAGAGTTCACCTCAAGCTCATTTCTAAACCTAACAGAAAGGCAATTGTCCATAGATGTCCCAATTTTTAAGATCTGACTGAGCCTAAGGACTACTGGGTACTGTCCATACTACCCTGTAGTGTTAAGGTATCTTGGTTATTCTACTGAAAAAATTATTTCAACAGGTTTTGAGGAAGGGAATTCTGTTTTTACCATGTCAGTGGTCTCAAATCCACAAAATAAACCTGGTCAGTACATCAGTCATGGCAGTCAAACATACCAATGAATTTGTTTTGAAGTCAACATTATAATCTGCAGGAAAGTTCCAGCAGTTTTTGTTGCACCTATTTTAAAGGTCCCATTCATCTCCAAAAGGTCAAAATTGTCATGTGTTGCACAATGCTAGAACTTGAAATATCCAGACCATTCATTTTACACGGCCCTATTTCATTGTTCTGCTTTAATTTCACTGCGCAACAAAAAATGAAAATGTCCTTCTCACCTCATTCCCAACTGGTTTTAATGAAGCCAATGGATCTATTTAAATGTCAGGGAAAAACAACACTCTATTGGGCTCTGAAGGCAAATTGTCCATTTCCGTTTAATATCCAGCCTACAGTAGAACTACACTGGTCACCAGCAGGGCTTTTTGTCTCTCTCCCCCAGCACACATTTCACAAATTGCATAAGAACCAATGGAGTTAGAGACAGTTGCTGAGAATTTGACTTACATTTATTAAGCTGAGTGAGGTTTACAATGCAGAAACTATTGATTCAATGTGCACGTTATTATGGAACTTCAAATGAGCTGGAAATCTGAGCACAGAGTGCTGCGAAAAATTCTCAAATAAAAAGAGTTAAAGCATTTGGTGGAAATCATTCTCAGGAGGTAAATTCTATCCAGAGAGCTAAAGGATTCTGGTGGCAAGAAAACAAAACAAAAAAAAAACTAGCCAAGAGGGAATTTGAAAAAGGTCAGAAAGAAATACTTAAAAAGCAGAATGTATACATTTAAGTCATAAATATGTTTTTCCAACTTATTTAACCTGAAATCTGCTCATTATGAAAAAAAATTACCACATATTTGATCATTATTATTATCGCCTGTGAATTATCCTCCTGTACTTTAATAGACAAGATATTCCTTTTTGTATTTGTTTTTCAAATGTCACTCTACAATAGGGCATTTTAGTGTTCCAGAGATGATTTTATAACACAGAGCAGCATTTTACAATATGTGTTAATAAAATGGGGCAGGGCAGAATTTTTTTACATTTTTAGAGCTTTTTCAGAATACATTACCAGCAGAATCATCCTTTTAAGCTGGACAATTCTCTGCCAATTCTTTTGCATTTGGTGCGTTAATAAAAAGGGAAAAACAAGGTTGGACAATTGGAGGAGGCTCCATAGTTTCTAGCCACAATTCAGCTTTTGAATTCCTGACTAGCTAAGCAAAAACAAACAAAAAAAAAGGATTTTTTTTTTTTTTTGTGAAAAGCTGTTTACTTTATAAACACACTGACACAGCAGTGATCTTTTCCCAAAAGTTTCCAGAACTGCAGCAGACACATTCCTAATTTTTGTTAAAATGGGTAAACGCTTTCCAATTTCTGCTTTGGTGTCTAGGCATATCCTACAGAGTTGTTTAAAAACTGGAGTTGTCTTTCTTGAGTATTTTTTTATCAATGTTTCTCAAGAAACACCCACCAGGACTTCCCAATGTCAAAGACTTGTCTCAAGTCACAAAATGACCCTGTAGGTAGGGCCTCTACTAGAAGGTCACTAGTGCTTGTGACCCGCAGGCTCGGACACTGAGGTCTCAGCTAGCTCCCCCTGAGCTCCACAGCTTCTCACCTCTATCTATTTACAGAGAAGAAATAAAAAGGGAGGGGGCATGAATACCGTAAAATATTGGCATCAGGAATTAATACAAGGGTAACAATGGTCTGCCATCAAATGGCACACGGAGGTGGTAACTATCATCCACTTGGATCAGCCCTGCTCTGTTTCAATATACCACAGGCATCTTTAGTCCCCCTTTTCTTTTGTCCAATTGGACAAAAATGGCAAATGGAAGGAAGGGGTTCAGCTGGAAAACCAACTATTAGAATGACATGAAAGCTAACCCAGCCCCTTTTATTCACCCTATATCTCCTTAGCCCCGTATTCATGGTGCAAGCAGATCAATTACTGTTTTTCTTCCCAAAGGATGTAGCTAAGTGTCCACTCCAGCTGGAATTTCTCCTCTGCTCTAGTAGGTTGCAGAGTCATACACTTATGATTTTAACTTACCTATATGTTTACAGATGTAAAATAACAAGTTCCTTTCTCAGGAATTCAAGCAACATTGACAAAAATATATCCCAGACAAAACAAAACCAAGAAAAAAACAACTTTGTACCAAGAGCAGAAGAGCAGAAAATGTTGGTGTTTCTCACCAAGCACAACATGTAGAAGCTGATACTTCCAGTATCTGGATGAAATAACAACAGGTATTGAAATGTAAAATCTGCCATGGGAATATTTATCAATGTTGTTTAAATTACATTACAAAATGAAATTAATGCAAAGCTGCTGCTACAGCCTTCCATGCAATTTAATTTATAGTTTGCATAAATAAAGAATTATAATGCATTCATTTGTTTCCTTCAATTTCTTACCTTGCCCTTCTGGAGTTTCACCAAAGGGATTCACTTCAACCTGAGTGGCATCAATTTTCAAGAAAAGATTATACAGCTTCTTAATTTGATCTGCTGCCTAAATTTGATCAAGTGATTTACAATTACAACACAGAAAAATAAAAGTTAATGTTTTCAAGGCAAAGGTAAACCATTATCGATTATTTTTAATGTATTAAATTGCACACTATCTCTAGATAATTACTGCTTTTATTTCTGTTTTCTTAATCATACTTATACAGTATCTAAAATAGCAATAATGTGGCATTATGATACTGCATAGCATTTAGTAAATAAGCATTTAAAGACTACATGAACTGGAGATTTTCTTCCAAATATACAGCATGACTGCTATGATAAATTTAATTTTTAAAGTGCCTAAGAGTTCGTAATGACATATTCTCCTGTGTGCTAAGTTACATTCACATTAATCAGTCTAAATTCAGAAACCATAAAGCAGTATGTGCACATAAGTGACTTTAGAATAAAATATACATTTGTCCTTCCTACATCTTGAAGACATTATGTCAGAAGCATGCTTGTTTACTCTTTACAAGATACTCTTGCTTTTTCCTTATGTTCTTCACCATCTATCTCTGTTAATGGGTAGAAAGTACTGTGACTGACTACTAACTTCCAAGTCGTTTGTTCTTATAACAATGTTCCATTAATAGAACAACTTCACAGCAACATGAACGTGCATTAAAAAAACCCCTTTGGTTCATTACACACTGACAACCTATTAGCTGAAATAAGTTTGCAGATGAAGAAATGCACTAATAAAGAACAATTCAAATTTGTTCCTTCATTTCAGATCAGTTAACTGAAGTAAACAAACCAAAAATATTTGAAACCTCCCATAATAAGCAAAGTGAATGAGAATAAAAACACAGAAGCTGGCTTTCTTGCACAATGTCATTAACAAGAAGGAAAACGTGACAATGGGAAAGACTCAACCCCAACACTGCACTACATCAGGAAGGAGAGGGTGAGGCAAAGCTGCACCTGGAGTGCCGTGTCCAGTCTTGGGACCAACACGTCTAAGACTCTTTAAAGAGTTACAGTTTGGAAGCAGCATACAAATTGCTTATCAAGTCTTCCCTGCTCAAAAGTCATTATCTGAAGCATTCTCAATGGTTTTGACTTTAAAAAAATTATCAGTTATAAATCTGCACCCACCAATGTAGGAGTTTCCTTGGCGTGGATGCTCAGGTTGACAGCTATCCCAATAGCACACGGGTGAGGCTACCAGTAGTGACACTGGGGAGGAGGTCCCACCATACAACCCCACACTGACTCTGGGCATCCTGAAAAGCTGTTGTTGCCCTAGTACACTGCTGTAATTTTAACAGATCAGCAGAATCACTTAACTTTTACTAAGGGCTGCTCCACCTTTCAGCACCTCTCTGAATCAGGGAGCTTAATTGTCAACATTTCTCCTTCTCAAGGTCTACAAGTATTGAGCCTCTTTGAGGCAAAGCATAAAAGTCCAACTTAGAAATAGTGGATGTACATGTAAATACTAGGATTTATCTGAGTAAAGACTATGTTCCTATGACTCAGTAAATTCCTTTGAGTTGATAGCACAAGGAAAGAAATGCATTCGCTGCGGCATTATTTAAATGTATTGTTGAAAAGTCTATATACTGCAGTTAATTATTAAGTACCAGAACTCTTCAGGGGTTGAAAGGTTCTACATAATCATTCCTCCTCATTAGATATACAGCTAAATCTTCAAATGTATGTTAATCAACTTAGTGATTATGCATTTGTTAATTGCACAGTTGGGATAGAAAATAATTAAAACTGCTGAATTAAAAATAAAGGAGTTCTACAGAAATGCCAGTTTGATGCTATGGAAAAGAAAACAGGCAAAAGTAGCTTAAATAAGCTTTCTCTTTCCTGCAAAATGCTTCATAAGACAAAGTATCTTGCATATTTGTGTAGAGTATGGAATTCCAACAAATGTAGAAAAGAAATACTGCAAAGACAACAAGCTGGCAGCCTTTTGGTTTTGATTTGAAGATCAGGAAAGAAAAAAGGCATCAGAGAGATACACCTTTACTTCTCCAGATCTTCCCCTCATATTAACAGCCAAATTTTCCAAAAAAGCTCTACCCATGTAATTCACTGAACTCCAATGGAATTCCAATGAAATTAAATGAATCCCATGTGGTGTAACAGCATTTTGCCATCAATTGCTTCAAAGACCAGCAACTTTCACTTTGGAACAATAAGGACCTTATTCAAAGTGCTAAAGCCTGATGACAATTATACAGGTGCAATTTAGTATTTAAAATGTCAAAACCGTCCTGACCTAATGAACACTTAGCCTTTCATGCCTATTTGGAAAGCATTTATTGTATAGCTGGGCTAAAACGTCTTCAGTAAAAACTAAGGGACCCAAATTACCTGCTGTTGCAAAGGTCCTTTGAATCCCAAATTTTTTGCCATCTGCAATGCCTGATGATCCTTTATGCCTTCAAAAATATCTATTTGCTCCTGTAACAATAACATGCATAAATAGAACTAAATATTCAATCTGAATGGAGATTTATAACTCCAAAAGGAAAACACTTAGTATACGTTTTTAAATTAGTAATTAAAGGATGGCTGTTTGCCAAAGTTCTCGGAGACTGAGGCTACAGCAGCTGCCTATAGGGTATGTTATAATTACCACACCAACTATGGAACAGTCCTTCCAAAAATATATATAATTCTTCAGGGTGGCATGCTGACAAGACAATGTGACACCAGTTTTCACTTTTAATTACTGTACAGATGGCGTTGATGAATATTTAGTCTGTTAATTTTTATGACATCTTCTGGAATATTTTCAAGGCAATGGTGTCACTGCTCAGTAACACTGTGAAGTTTATATAATTTTAAAATGCACATTAAATATTTTTACAATTTTTGAATAATTACACTTGATTGTATCAATTATTTTCCCAGATTAGTAACTTGTCTACTCATTAGAATGCCATAGTAACATAAAAAATATTTAAATGCAGTCATCATTAAGAAAGCAATTACAACAGTTGGATTTCAGATGCAAAAGTCATCCAGGTACAAAGAAATAATTAACAACTCTGTCAATCAGAAAAAAACAACCACAGAAACAATAACCGTATTGGCACTGACCCACTTGTGAAAAAACTGTGCACCTTCCTGAAAGTGAAACTCAAAAAGTATTTCAGATGTTAAGTTTAACATATCATGTAACAGCCAGATTTAAGCTCCGTTTCTAAACTGAGCTGGAGACAGAAACACTAGAAAAATCAGACGTTAAACATTCTTCATTTATCTACTAGATGACAGGTCTAATCCCCTATTTGGTGAAACACAATTTTTATGGTTCTTCTTGTCTTCTTTCTGTACATGGAAGAAGGAAAAACGGAAGGAGAAAGGCAAGGGGGAAATATATTATTTTGGATAACTGACAAGGAAAACTTCTAGTCTAAAATATTATTTCAATACCTTAAAGATAAGTTCAGGGCTAGTAACTGCAACTTCTTCTATGTCAACACCACCCTGTGGACTGCCAACCATAACAGGTCCATTGCAGGCTCTGTCCATCAAAATTGCAAAGTATGTTTCCCTGGAAATATCCAGTGCTTCTGCAACCATCACCTAAAAATGAACACAGGGAAGAAAAAAAGAAACAGGAACAGTTCTGAGTGGTCCATCTAGCTGGGGACAATAAATCTGAACATAGCTTTGCTTCCTTGAGGTGTTGAGTAGTAAACGTTGTAACATCTTTTGCAATGTGAAAAGCAATTAAAAATTAAGAGAACCAATGAGGGACAATATTTCTCTCTGCTATGACCAAACAGAAAATATTGTGGCTCACATTTTCTGCATTGCCTTAAAATGCAGCAGTTTGATACTTGCTATCCTGAAAATAAATGTTTATTTCATTGCTTTTACAAGATATTACAACCCAGAGAGTTTTTTTCCCAAGAAATCCTCTCTCCCTAAACAAGAGACTCCCCTGAGGCTGCTGTTCTCACTGGGGCATGTAACAACCAGTAGAAACCAGGAACACCTAACTGTTGGGGTTTTTTTTCCAAGAAGAGAATCAGACCTGCTGCTCCATAAAGGGGACCTCCATATCACCTTTTTATTCCAAAAAAGCACTTCAACACGCTGCTCCCAGAAAAACCTGAGTCAGAAGGGACTCCAGCCTTGCAAATCACACAGATGTAAGAGAGAGTCCATTGACTTTCTGATGCATCGCATCAGTAGTGCTGTTCCTCACCAGCAAAGCCTCAGGCTAAAGTTCTCTCCGTCTTTCTGACAGAAGGCCATCCTACACTTACAATCTCAACACTGAATTCCTGCCCTGCCTAAGTACTTCCTAAGGAAATGGTCATACAGATAATTTTGCCATCCAGCTTTTTACTCTTAGTTTAGAGAGACAAGCAGATGTGCAACTTTCAGATACTGGCACATTGTAGATATGTGAAAATTTATTTTTCCAAAGAGCTAGTGATTTCTATTTATTCCTATAAACCAGAGCTCTTTCATACCAATATCTGACAGACACCTCAGCATGTTACAAAAAAAGGTGATTCAAATCCTACATGTTAGGAATCTACAAGAACTCACATTAAAACTGGGGGGAAATGGCCCCTATGAATTCTTTGTTACAATTTTTTCTCTTCTCTCAGGAATATGCCAAAGCCACAGTCCTTTCCATTTCAGAATTACAATAACTATATCTTCATCTGAATTGTCAATTTTTGCAATAGTTTAACAATAGCTGCTACAGCAGTTTCAGAGAGTAAGTAGATTTACACTTGGTAAAGGACTCACAAAACTATGGTTTGATGCAAGAATACAAAAACCCTCCAAATGTTCTTCATCTTAAAAAAAAAAACAAAAAACACCAACAACTGCACGATCACTACTAATTGTTCCTTATGATCGTAACAGCTGCCATAATCTCAGGTGCAAAGGCTGTAGTTCTGCTCTGCACTATATCTTTGCTTTTCAACATGGAAATTAGCTGAGCAGCCACCTCTGCAGTCTGATTAGCATAATAGCTTCTCCTTCCAACAATCAACTACACTCTTCCTTAGCAGAGCTACTATTTCCTGTCTTTCAGTAGTAGAAACCAGGAAAACCACTTCTCTAAGTTTAATAAAGGATGAAGTGGCAATGGCCTTCTGATGTGGTCTGTTTAAAAACTGACAGTTCTGAACAATGATTGTAGACGAAGATTATCACTCTGAATGAAACACAAGGTGAAATTCATTCTATCAGTCAGTAGTTCAAACTCCTTAGATCTGAGAGGCACGTATATACCTGCAGTCTTAAAACTCTGCCTACCTGGCAAGACGTGTGTTCCATCAAATAAGCATTCCTGGGGTTTTCATAGTTCAAGGACTATAAACAAGAAAGATGCACTATACTTTCACCCAAGTAATTTTGACATTCTACTCCAGAGTACGTAAGAAAGAATGTACTCACCTTCTGCCAGGCTGTACATCTTAACAGAACAGAAAAAAAAGTAAGAGACAAGGAATTAAATAAAGCCCTCTGTGTTCAGAATGGAAGGAAAAATGCTATTTCTTTATGGGGTTTTTGACTTCGAAGAAATTTTCTTTATGGTAATTTTGATTTCTTCTACTTTCACCTTGCTTTATTCATAGAACATAGGGTACAAGGACATAAAGGAATAGTTCAAATAAGTGACTGTTCAAAAGCAAACTAAACAAAACTAGGGTGAAGGAGAGAACTAAGAATGTAGAAAACTACTGTACTACTTAAAGCATCTGCCTATTTTACGCTACTATAAAAGGACGCTAAAAGCCAACTTCAGAAACGTAGCTCAGCTACCTGCCAAGATTTGTCAAATTAACAAGTAAAGATATGGAAAGCATCCTTGATTTAAAACTACTACTCTTTTTACCTGCATGCATGTTTTTACCTTCTTACATATCCTGCATCCATGTATCTGAAAAACGTTAGTCAATCCCTTTAGACATAGGTCAAACAAAACCAGCTGGTCCTACTGGATCTTGTCTGACAGATCAAGAATCTACTGATCTTGTTTTTTCAGACAGTTTCCAGAGCACTTAGGATCAGGGCCAGACTTAGCATGTGAATCTACTCAACGAGTCTTGAGGAATACATTTGCAAGCACAGCAGGTGGAACTTACATTATTAAATCAGGTATCTTCTCAACTGCTACTTCCAACCTGAGTGCTTGTCCTCACTATTGCTAATTAACCATGTCAACATCATCAAAAACTTCTCTGTCTTAACTCGCAGAAGTATTGAGAGTCTATCTACTTTGTCGTAGGCAAGCTTAATGTAGAGCAAAAATTGTCAGACTGTGTAACATCTCTCATTTCTCCCAACAAAACCCGTTACTTTCCTTCACCATCCTCCCTGTTTGATGCAGAGCACAGCCAGGGAAATTGGTGTCCAAGGTCTTTAAATATTATTTCTTAAAGTCTACCTATCGTTCACATGACAAAACTAATGCAAACACATTAATGAACAGTTGAGAGTAGTGAAATTGAATCTACACACTGTTGACTTTTCTTGTATTTTGTCTCTTTTGCTTATGATAAAGAATGTGAAGCATCATTATCCATTTATCACACTAGGTTTATATTTAAAATGTCCTGGGGGGAAAAAAAAAAAGTTTTCTTTAAAACTTCCTGATAACTTCAAGCTTTCCTTCTTAAAAACAAATCATTACCTAAAAGTTCAAGACACACATCTGATTTTGTGAGGGTAGCTATAACAGCTCTTTTATATCAAATCAAATATTCAAAATGTTAATTCTGATATTGCTTGGAGAGAAAACACAGGTAGCAAATTCTCAGGTTGTCATGATAAGAGAAGACTGCCTTCTCAGATAACCAGGCTCTCCAAATTCCAAGCTTCCAAAAGAGGATTTTATGTAAACTCACAAAAGAGCTTCCAAGTTACGAGGGGACTGAGGAGACTGCTATTTAGTTAAGAAACACCAATCTAAAGAGGCACAAACATGCTTTACATACTGTAGTAGGTGCACAAGCTGAGAAAGGAAGCTGAAAACTCCATTTTCTGCTCCATAATTATTCTAATTGTAGAAAATGTCTATCTTTTATTCCTTCCTTACAAATACATGAAAAGGTACACGACTTCCACTCCCTGGCTCGACACTAGTACATTGTTTGCCTCACAGAAAGTGACTTAATAACTATGCTCCTTCTGAAAACCGTTTATTACCTGATTTTTTTTAAAAACATAAGAGTTCACTCAAACTTTCCAAAACACCAAAAAGTTTAAAAACCACAAACCCTAAAAACATGCCTTTTCTTCGTGAACTGTGATTTTGAGTACGTGTACACATGCACAAGGTATTTGCCTTGAAACACCAGAAAAATGCCAGCTATTAATTCGCAACTTCCCCACAGCTCTTAACAAGCTCAAAGAGTCTGTCTGGGATTTTCTAAGCACTAAGTACCCACTGCATTAAATGACATCTTAGACATAGGTAAGCTCACACTTTTAATTGTATTACTGTAGTGGTTAAAATTTCAGTTTTGATATTGCAGTCCTGATGCTACAAACCTGAATGCCTCCACTCCTTTAACTACTTTGAAGATTCTAGAGTGAGTTAACTTTGGAAAAGATAAACACTTTTAAAAGACATTAATTTTCCCGGGAGATGTCTTTTGATGACCTAGATGCATAATTTTAAACATGCTTTCTTCTCTATTTAACAAGCAATGGGGAAATCATTAGCATACCATTGGCCAAATTGTTACACAATTAATTAACTTAAAACAGGGTGTATGCTCTTACCATAAATTACCAAGAAACAAGATCTCAACACCAAAAATATAAAACACACTATTACCTTGTTACATATATGTGTGATGAAGATATGAATTGGCCCAGGGCTTTTAAAAGCCAACATTATAATCAGAATGGACATCTATGATACTAGATGACCAGCTTCTCCCAGTGAAAAGCATCAGACTGGTTTATCATGCATCAGTACTAAAATACTTGCAAGCTGTGTCCTGAGAAGTTTCCATGTAACTCTATAGCAAAGGAAAAATACACAGTCTATCGAGGCTATATACTTCCCTGTATCACCAAAATAAACATCTGAAGTTCAGTAGTGCGAACTTCACCTTAAACTTCACATATGCCCTAGCAGCTTACTCTTGACCACTGTTTATTCACACAAGCAATGTGTGGATGGGGAAGAAAGCAATCACAAGCTAAATCTTCTATAACTCTTCTATACATGGTACAACTGTCATCCTAGTATAAATCCTTCGAATAATCCATTTCAAAAGATACCAACACCCATACCTTTCTTTCATGTCTATCAATTTCAAAGAAAATCAGAAGTTTCTTTTCCAGAACTGAATATGTAAATGAATGAACAGACTTGCACTCAGACAAAAGGATGAAATTTCCTGTACTGACACATACAAAGTAAGTCAACTAGGGCAAAAGAATAAAACCAAACAATTCATAAAAGAAAGCTGTTTTTACAATACAAAATTTTCAAAGCTGCATGCCTTAATATGGGAAGTGTATATCCTTTTTTATATCCTTAGTATTACCACTCTCTCTGACAGACATACCTTAATGGAAATACCGTTCCTTCTTTTTAATATCTAGTCTTTCTTTTTAAAAACAACTATGAGGAGTGATAATAATCTGCTCTCCTTGCTCCCCAAGAGAAGAACCACCTGAGCACCCTCCTCCAGCCCTCATTAGACAGCATCTTTCCAGACAGGTGTTCCCCTTCTATGCTAATACACCAAGCTGTTCACAATATATTAGAAGTGAACTGCACTTCTTTACAGCTCATGCCAAATTATCTCCTGGCATCAAATGCAGTGTGGCTCTTGACTACATACCTGTATGAAGATCCTTGCTCGGTAAAACAAAGCAAGGGATAAAAATATAGGTATTAGCAGGGCAATTGCCAGGATTTCCTGACTTACAGAATTTACTAAGGTAAAGGAGAATCTTGCAGAAGGGCTGTCTGTGCTTCTCTTTCTTAGGCCAATACAGAGCAATACGTCTATGCTGAAGTGAATCTTGGCACCTTGCAGTAGGTACCACCATAGGTGAATGAATTACCATGTATGAGCTGAAACACCACCATAATTTTATTCTGTATCTGCAACATTAGAAAGAATCTACTTTTAGACACTTTTTTTGTTTGGTTGGTTTTTATAATCGAGATCATTCTCATGCAAAGTCATCTGTCACTATCTTTAATAACAGCTGCCCAAAGCTGATAATGAAAGAAATACAGATAATATGACTACAGATAATCATGTATATATTACTCCTCTAAGCAGAACATCAATAAGCATGTACAGTTATTGCTATATATAGTTATGCTAGCATTTAGTATGTATTTGATGAAGGATGAAGCTATGACAAAGCATCCCCTTCAACACAGGCAGCAAAACTGAATTCATTTTTCCAACACTATGTATGCTGAAATTGAAAGACAAAGCACAGACACACAAAGAAAGAAAAAGTAACTTTTTCTTTTTTCTTTCATCAACTAGATGCAATCAATCAGGCACTGGAAAAGGAATGAAAAAATAAATCTGTGTCATATACCCCAGCATATTAATGCAAAATTGCAGCTGAACACAGTCCTCAACTTTCAAGAGGCAAAAATCTTACCTTTTTAACTGTCACACCATTCTTTGGAGTTTGCTTTGTTGACAGATTGTACCCAATCATCTGTTTAGCAAGCTGTTCAACTGTCTTAGGGCTACAACAAAGGAAAAAGGTTAGCTTATTGAAAGATATTAAAAGAAACAGTCACAAAACTATTGTAAACAGTTTAAATATTACAACAGAAGCAATTTATGCTTTTTTCAATTTTAAAGACTTACTCTTTAGTTAGATGAACTCCTCCTTTCAATCCACTATTGAAAATACCTTTTCCTCTCCCTCCAGCCAGAATCTGTGCCTTCAGAACAATTTCCTTTGCCTCTGTAAAAGAAAAACACATTGCTATTCTATGGTGTGTCATTTATCAAGTGTGTTAGCATAAATTTAAAAAGCATTTCCAGGTTAGACTCTGAAAAAAAAAGAAAAAGAAAAAAGAGAGTGAAGTTGTTTATAACTAGTGAGCTAATTCAGCATTTTTATAAAGTAACCTTGCAAAAAAAAAAAGAAATATTTAAGGAAGTTAAAGGATAAATATACACTACTTATTAGCTGGATAAAGATGTCATTATTTAGATCAAAACCAAGCTATTAATGCTACATAGCCTGCACAACAAACCACATAACCAGCATACAGTTTGACAGCTTACATTCTGGCATGTTTTTTCAAACATGAATCAGATCATACTTTGCCTTGAATGCACAACAAACAAATGCTTATCAAGGAAAATAAAGTCCATTCCTTGGTCTGAATGTGTCAGCAAAGCTATGGATGTGGTCCTAGCAGAAGAAATCCCCATCTTCAAAGTGTAGAGCAAGGGCAGCAGCTGGGAAAACACGTTCATCTGTTTGTGAGGCATCGCTGGAATCTTTGGCAATGTGAGCACAACAGCATCTCAGTAACAAGAACGTGCAGAAAGACACAGCGACAAAAATAATTGCACCAAGACCCATGTTCCAAACAGAAGCAATCCTGACACAGTTACAGAGTAAAACAGGGGAAAAGAAAAAAAAAAAAAACAACAAGCAAACAAAAACATCACAGATGATCTCTGCAGCTCCATGGACCATAGCGGCTTCTTGAACCATCAAGACCTGCCAGGTTCCTGTAAGATGTTTATTAATACTCAATACTGTCACTTTGTACATTTACCATAGTACTGTCAGGTATTTTGCAAAGTCTGAAATCCTAATATTAACATATCATTACGCGATGCCTACAAAAGGCTAACTTTGTTATCCTTTTGTGATTGAGGCAATTCCCTCTGCAGGCTGCGAAAATCTCTGATTTCAGTGATTTTGGATTAGGTCACACCCTGAATCACAATATTCTATGCAAACATGCAAGAAAACATGAGAATTTGCCATAAAATTGACAGATTCACTGTTTAAGACGCACAGAAGCCACAGATACTTTCATTCAAACAAACACAGGCTTTCTAGGCTGGTATTACACAAAAATATTTTACAGATGATTAAATAGAAGTCTGGAGGTGTCACAATTTTTTGGTGCAGACCAGCTGTGCCATGACATCATTTCAAAGTTCCAGTATAACAAATTTCAGCCACTAGAAGAAAAGTTGCATCTTAGGATAGAATAAATATTATGAAATAAATATTCTATTTCCTGTATTAAGACAGAAACACATTTTCAATATAGCTATTGGCGGTACTGTACTAAGAGACACCTGATTTCCAAGCTTCTCAAGGCAAAATCCTCCCATGTTTATCCATTCAGTAACATTTGACATACATCATTCTGAACCTTAAAAGCACTCTCCTTGAAAATACTTCATGCATTCCAATATATTCATGTTCTGGACTTCCTGTTACTCATGCCACTGCAAGGCAGATAACAAGTAAATTTAAACGCAACAAAAAGTTTTATATCAAGTGCTTCCTAAGCACACAAATTATTAAGATGAATTAAAACTACAAATCACTTTCCAACCTGCAGCAGCAAATTCTAAAATAGAAATACCTGCTGCGATAAAGAATCTAACATAGTACTGTTAATAGATACTGCAAACATTTAATTAGATCGGTTTTAGGTGCCAAGCATCGCAACAACGTGAGTTTTGATTGACAGTGATACGTGATATCAATTATGTGGGTGATCATCACCCTCACTCCCAACCAGCATGCTACATGAGTTAGAGGAAGGAATTAATGTGTACATTTTTATAATCCACTAGAGGACTATCAAGGCAATACAACAACTTCAGAAAAAAACAACTATCAAAAACATAAACAAACACAGTAGAAAATAAGCCTAACCATGTAAAGATTAGACCTGAAGAACTAATCAATATAGCGGCTCAGCAGAGCACGGTACAGCAGGTTCTTCCAGCCCTGGGGGAAACCAACAGGAAGCAATTTAATTCAATATTTATTTGCCCAAGCTCTGTAAAATAAAGTAAACCAGCCAGATCTTATTTTACAGTAACTAGCCTTGATGACTCAGTACTTACAAGCTGATTCACTACTTAACACAGTGCACCATCTTATTTAAAGAGCCAGTTTCTAGAAATGCTCACAGGAAGTTTTTATGCTATCTCCTGCCTTAATTTCCAAATTATGTTATGAAAGACTATCTCAAAAAGAAAAATGTGGTTTTAGCTGGAATATATGAAGTAATTCACCTTCACTTGTAGGCTCTAATAAAAATAAATAACTAATCTAAAAAGCAGTATGCAAAGTCAGCATTAAACCCATTAAAACCAAAAAGCTGTAATTAATTTCCATTAGCACCCTTCCAAATCGCTGTAGTAACACTAAAAAAAAAAATGTTTAAGCAGGGCGGAGCACTTATAAATACTGGATTTGAAGAGAACCTAGCACAAGCAACATGTCTTTACAACACCATGAAGTCAAATACAACATTTTCAACAGCACTGCATTTGGTAATAAAGGCTTTGATGGACTTCTGCTTATGTCTACTGACTGACAAGCCTTTGTGTAAATGAAAAAAAAACCCAAACCCAAAAACCAAACCCAAACAGCAAAACATACTGCTTCCTATGTGTGCACAGATTTTCTTTGTCACAGATTTAAAATTTTATTTAACATTCAAAACAATATATATAAAAAAAAAAGAGTGTTTTTAAGTGTCACTAATTTAGCGGCAAATAGCTGCAAACTTCTCCATGCAGATTAATGACGCATTTCTGGTACCAGCATGTGTTTTTATCTTATTATAACATGAATACACTAATATCTCAGACTTAACAGTTTATTCACTGGATCTTATATTTGTCTTTTTTACATTAATCTATAGAAAAAGGGAGATATGAACATTTCCAAAGAGTTCTTTAAAAATTGGAGCAAAATACAACTTCTCCCTAAGTCAGATGCCAATGAATAAGCAAGACCTTTACTCCTCAGAAAAGTCCTCAGAGTTTAACATTTTGCAACTATAGTTGAGTCTAACCACACTTCTAAAAAAACTAAACCTGACCACATAGGAAAAAAAATCCTGAACCACTTTTCTTCTAAATAAATTCAGCTGTTTCAGCAGAAGAGAATCTAACACTCTGAGGGACAAGCATCCTCTGCATTGCATTCACCAACACATCTCCTTCCCTTCAGCCAGTGCTCTGAATACAAATGCCAGGGATACTCCTTGCAACTGTAATAGGCTCAGTTCTATAATGAAAGCCTATTTAAAATCAATAAAACCAGTCCTGCTTTTGGGATGTATGATTACTCTGGTCCACTGGTACTGCTTACAGCAAAAATGAACAGCTTGTTCTCAGCCCACTGCTGTGTATATTTAAATACTGAATTCTTGATCATGAAGCGATACACTAGAATCATAGCTCTGCTGGTTATAGGGTATGCTAATTTATTACCTGTGAACAACTTTCCATTATTATTGATACAACTGTGTGATTGCAAATTAGGCGTGTTAATGATTACATCAAAATGTGCTGTAGCTTATAAAAAATAAACTACTGGAAAGAACAGGCAGCGTAAGACTGCACACTATTAGGCTGCGCTCTTGCCTGTTTATGAACAAAAGATTTTATACCAGAGAGTACTCAGGGCTACTTTGGGAAGACATCCTACGCTACAGAATTAGAGCATGGGACTGAAAGTGAAGAGATCTCATATCAAATCCTAATCACATTTCTGTCTCACCATGCGACTTTCAGCAGTTCAGCTTCTCTATCTGCAGGGGTTCTGTGAAAATCAATTAGCGTCTGCACCTCTTAGAAATTCAGAACCTGATACAGTTTTATATTAGTGTATTTTTATCCCAGTGTAAGGCAACTGATTACAGAAGGGCTGACTCCAAATCCTGCAGCACCATGTACTGCAGCAGCAGCAAAGCATCACTGGAAAGTGCACCGATCCCTCTTGGAACGAGCCTGGTACGCATTGCAAAAGAGATGGAAGCAACCCAGTGTCATGGGAGTAGTGCAACGAAGACCAATTGAGGACATGCCAAATCAACATCTTACAGAAGCACTGTCTCCTTACTGACCCAAACACTGAGTATGTAAACACTGAGTTTATAAACACACAAGAGCAGTTTCCACAAAGGCAGCTGGAGTTAACGAGACCCCTCCATCCTTCCGCACCCACAGGACCCCAGCCTAGTGTGGCTAGGCAGATATTAACTAGTTTCATGAACTTTGCTAGTCACCCTTCCTTACCTAAAGTCATTAACCTGTGCTTGATGAGCAGAACTCTTCGAGCACATCCTCCTTCCCAAAGTCCCGAACGAGCCAGATGGGGTACATGAGTCTGCAACCAGCTCCACCCCGTCCACCTCTGCAAAGAGGCAGAGGCCAATCTAATGATGTATTTACCTGGCAAGTCTCCTCTGAGGGACACAAATCACTGTTAGGCTTGGACATGTGCAAACTTAAGCTTTCCTTTGGCCTGTCAAGCTTTAGTCACCATCTTTTTCATGGTTGTCTAGAATATTACTCCACTGGCTGGGACAACAACTGGATGACCAACTCCACCTCCCAACCACCTATGTAGGACACCGATTTCCTAAAGCAGAGCAGTAAATTCAGCACTTCCCTTCCCAAAGCAAGTTTTTTCCCCCACTCTGCTGTATAATTTAGCTTTCATAACATGGAAGTTGAGGAGAACAAGGCAGATATTACAGACATTTTCTGACAGCAATTACACTTCATTTTGGATAGGACAAGAACTAGAAAGACATCAACAAAACCCAGAACGCCTACATGCTGTTCCTACTTCGGTTTCTTTCCTCACCAGTGTTGATGCAAAACTGCAAATGCTCAAGTGTCCTGTAAGGGTTCCAGATAACCTCTCCCAAACCACACCTCTGCAGCTCAGGGCTTGTC